CCTAACCTTGGTTGAGGAAGTCTGTTGATCACAAAGGCTGCAGTCCTCATTGCTTCAGCCCAAAACCTTCCAGGTACATTCTTTGCATGTAGCATACTTTGACAAATTTCTGCAAGATGCCTGTTTTTTCTTTCCGCTACACCATTCTGTTGTGGCGTGTTGGCACAAGTGTACTGATGACGTATTCGACATTCCCTTAGGTATTGAGAGAACTCGTTTGATCTATATTCTCCTCCGTTGTCTGTGCGCAAGCAACATATCTTCTTTCCCACTTCTCCTTCAGCTGAGTCTCTGAACTCTTTAAACTTTGAGAAAGTATCAGATTTTTCTTTCATAAAGAAAACTCACACATACCTGGAGAAGTCATCAATGAATGTTACCATGTACCGCATACCGCTAATTGATTATTGCTTAACCGGTCTGAACACATCAGAGTGAACCAACTCCAACGGTTCTTTTGCTTTAAACTTCGACTCGTCATATGGTAATTGGTGTGCTTTACCATACTGGCATCCCGCACAGACCGTGTCTGTTCTCACATCTAGTTGAGCAAGCCCCTTAAGCATCGACTTTTTCACCATCACACTTAGCTTGGAATAGCTAACGTGACCTAACCGCATGTGCCATAGATCTGATGTCTCATTTTTCCTTGTCCTGTCTACATATGAAGACTCTGCTGACATCACGTAAATTGATTCCAAACGTCGTCCCTCCATTGTTGGTGTTTCTGATGATGTTAGTTGAGCCACAGATAGCAAATTTTTCTTCATTCCTGGGACATGGTAAACATCTTGGAGTTGTATCTGGTTAGTATTATATCGAGGCGTAACTATTATCTTACCGATGTGAGTTATCGGTAACCTTGAGTTGTCAGCTGTCATCACCACACGACCTCCATTATACTCAGACAGGTTTTGCAACTTCTATTTGTCACCCGTCATATGATTTGAGCAGCCAGAATCTACGATCCAATCATTCTTGTAGTCAATCCGTTCTGGTGTTGTTACCATGAGAGCTAATTCTTCTTCCTCCGTAGCAAATAACGCTTCAGCATCCCAACCATCTTCACTATTCTCCTTCAAACAAGAAGTAGCAGTATTACTTTCAACAGGCTTTTTCTTGGTCCAACAGTTTTTTGCCATATGACCCATCTTCCCGCAGTTATAACACTTGCCATCGAACTTTCTACTATTACCGCGATTCTTGGATGCTCTCCCTGAATGAGGGCCTCCCTTTCCTTGGTAATTTTTCACCTTGTCACCATTCTTTTTAGATCCACTACCAGTATACCGCTGAAAAGTGCCTCTGCTTTTACTGGTGTATAGCGTTTCCTCTTCACCCTTCAGCGAGACTCCTCCCATTTGCTTGGCCATGGCTTCTTGACCTGTAAGCAAATTTTCGAACTCAACAAGCGATGGATGTGTCAGCCATCCCTGTACAGCGGCAACAAACCCTCGATATTCGGGTCTCAAACCATAGACAATTATTCTTTTTTATCCTGGCTTCCCCAATAGCAGCTGTCGGATCTAATTCTGAAATTTCGCGACATATCGACTTCACCTTGTGAAAGTATTGGGCAACCGCCATGTCGCGTTGCGCCATTGATAGAAGTTCATTCTCGAGAAGTTACAATTTTGTATCGTTCCTCTTCGAAAAAAGTGTAACAAAAATGTCACATGCTTCCTTTGGTGTTTTAGCATCCCGAATGTGCTCCAACATTTCTTCTTCAATTGTGGTCTTTAAAGCAAACATTGTTTTGCCTGTTTTAATTTTCCACTTTCGCAAGAATCCATTTGGCATCTTCTGTCGCCGGTTGTGTAACTTCACCACCACCGACAACCTCCCAAAGGTCTTGAGCTTGTAAGTATGACTCCATACATGTTGCCCACGTATTGTAGTTTTTGTTGTTGAGCTTCTTGATCCCTCCAACTACTTGAAGATCACCCATCTTAACGGCAAGGCTTTAACTACACCGAACAAGCTTGAGTAACAAACGTGCAGAGTACTAAATTACTCTAAATACAAAGAAGCTCCACAAGGTTTGTAATAACCCCGATAATAACTCAAGAAATATTTTCTTATATGGAAGATCAGTTAAAAACTGCAGCCACAGAGCATACTCAGAATTTTAAGAGACCTTAAAAACGTGGATCGGATACCAATTGTTGAATCAAAATAGAGTAAAAACTCTATTTGATCGAGAAGAAGAAAAAACTCTTTAGAATAATCTCACAAAATTGCAAAAGGGAAGAACTCTTAAGAAAGCTTTCAAATACTTATAATTAAGCTTGATTGTTGGATGATAAACTCAAATACAAGTAGGGTATTTATAGGTTACAAGAAGTAATCTAAACCACTCATTAAAATAAGCACTAAATAATCTAAACCATTGAAATTAAAACATGAGAAAAATACTTAATTTTCACCAAACTAAATTGATGTAAGCAATGACATCAAATTAATTTAGGTGTGAACTTATTTAGGCTAATATTGAATTTTCAACAAGTGATTAGGTTTGGTTTTAATCACGAAATGAGCCCCTTCAAAGTAGTGTCACCATTTTGAAACAACTAGCAAAATTGCTAGATGTTTTTTCTCGTAAATGGAAAGTTCAGTATTTCTTGTACTAAGGGCCTTGCTAAGATAAGCAATGGACGCCCTTCTTGGGATAAGATCGCCCCAATCCCCGAAGAACTCGCATCTGTTTTGAGGTGAAATGTTTTAGTGAAGTCTGGAAGCGTAAACACTAGTGCACAACACATGGCAGGCTTGAGTTATTCAAAAACATATAGAGAGGCAAAAGACCATACAAATTATTCCTTTTTTAGCATTTGAGTTATAGGTTTACTTAACTCACCTCATCGTCGGATAAACCTTCTATAGTAGCCGGTGAGGCAAAAAAAAACCCTTAATGCCTTCATATTTGTTCGAAAGGGCCATTGTTTTATAGAAGCAATTTTAGAAGGATCTGAGGACACCCCTTTAGATGATATGATATGACCAAGATACTCTACTTGTGTTTGACCAAAGAAGCATTTAGACTTCTTAGCAAATAGTTGATGATCCTTTAGAAGTTACAATACTGCCCGTAGATTAGTAATGTGGGCTACCATAGTTGAACTGTACATTAGGATATCATTAAAGAACACAAGAACAAATTTTCGAAGATAGGAGATAAATCATTCATTAAGGACTGAAAAGTTTTCGGATCGTTTGTAAGGCCGAAAGGCATTACCTTAAATTCAAAATAGTCGAGGTGTCTTCGAAAGGTTGTCTTGTACACATCTTCGGATTTAATTCGAATCTGCCAATATCTTGAGCGTGGATCAATTTTCGAAAAAAATTCAGCTCCTTGGAGTTTATCCAAAAGGTCATCCATGATTTGAATAGGAAATTTATTTTTTATGGTCTGATGTTTTAGTTGTCTATAATCCACGCAGAATTGCCAAGTACACCGTCCTTCTTAACCAGCAGGTAAGGAGAAACAAAAGGCTAGTGCTTGGTTGAATGATCGAGGCTGCAAGCATGTCTTTAGTTTGCTTTTCAACTTCTGATTTTTTATGATGGGCAAAACGATAAGGACGTAAGTTGACCGGAAGTATATTGTTAATAATAATAGGTGATCATAGTTTTCTTTGGGGTGGCAGTCCTTGAGGTTCAACAAAAATGCAGCTAAACTCCAATAAGGATTGTAGCACATCGGGTACAGCAAGTTCCACCTTGTCCACTGTTAAAAAATAATTCACCCACTAGGGTAGGGTCTTTAGGGTCAATTTTTGGATTTTTTTCAGCAGACTTATATTGAGAAGGGCTGGATAATTTTGGCCTTGTATGGTAATATATGCCCATCTTTTCCGAATCCCAGAGTCATTTTATTAAAGTCCATCAAGATTGGATTGAATTCTCACATCCAATCGACCTCAAGCACCAATTCACTACCTCCCAATTGCAATACCTGAAAATCATGCATAAAATGCCCTTGTATTGACCAACAGAGCTGCTTAGACTTTGTTGAGCTGAACAATTGCTCACCATTAGTTATGGTGATGGCTAGGGGGTTAGTAGTAACCACTTCTGTTCCTTCTTTAGCCCACTTTGGTGTTAAAAACTATGTATGCTTCCACTATCTATTAAGATGCTTAGTGGTTTACCCTTGATCAACCCTTGGATACATAATATATTGACTTACGCTGCCTGTTATTGCATTCATGGAAATCTCTAAATTATCATCTGCTTGAATTTGTGTATCATTGTTTCTGCCTGAACATCTCCCCCATTCTCATGATAATTTGTCTCCTCCATCAGGTGAAATTGTCTAGGCTTGCATTGGTGACTAGGAAAGAATTTGTCTCCACGGCAGAAGCATAAGTTATTGACTCGGCAATACTCCAAAAAGGTATTTTTGTTTGATTATTGTTGTTGGTTCTTGGTAGGGGTTGTGTCATCTTAATTCCTCCACTATATCTAAAAATGAACGGTCATTGAATTAGTGACATAAGTCAGCCTCAAACTCATGCCAATGTACATGATGTTTCTGCATAATGTACCCGTCGAACCAAGTCTCGGCCTTGCCAACCAAGTGCATAGCAGCCACCACTAGTTTTTGTTCTTCAGGAACTCCAAAAATCTGGAAAAAAAATTGTTACATTTCTGTAACCAACCCCTTGGATTCGTGCCATCAAAATGTTGTAGCTCAATTTTTTGCCTCGGGTAAGAGGATCCTGATTCCTGAGGTTCCATATGACTATTCTAGTCCTTTTTTGTCATCATCCAACTCCCCTTGAACTATTTTAATGTCTCTACTATTTCCCTCTAGGTTTCCCACCTAAGGTGTTAATTTAATGAAATCATAGGTTTAGTTGGTGTTGTATGAAAATCTGGACTTATCATTAACCATTGTTACTTGAACTGACCTTTTTCCTTCTGTTTTTGTGGGAGTTGCAGTCTTCTCCAGGTCACTATCACCTTCTTGCTCTTCCTGTCGGCCTGTTAATATACGCATGATTTTTTTCACGTATCCTTGGTTCTGTGGTTATCCTCGACTCCAGACTGGTAATGCGGTTGTCTTGAGTTTCCCACCATTTAGAAGGTTATGTTTCATCCTTGGCTTCCTTTACCAATTTGGTCAGGTCTTCTATTTGTTTTGTATTGCAACAATATCAACATTTCCAGCAATCAGTTTACTCCTTTTCTAGTTGCCCAGCTTGGATTTATGTCAGGAATATGTCTTTTGATACCAAATTGTTATGGATTATAAGAATTTTTAGGGGAAATGAGAAGAGAGAGACGAGAGGTTTGAGAGGAAAGAAAACTTCATTCAAAATCGGGATAATTTTGTCCTTAACCAGGTACATGTTTTATTTGATTACAAGGCACCCTCCTCTAACTAACTTGCCAGCTGGTTGTACAATCGTCCTAATCAATTGATTCCTCTGTAGGTGCTGATGGTGTGATTAATTGGGCTAGATTTCTTGATAGGCCTCCAAGTGCTTCATTTGACCCAGCAGGTAAGAAGTTCTATTTCTCATTACTTTTCACATTTTTTACACATGCTTTTTTTCCCAGATTTCTTTTCTTCCATCTTCCCAATTCTCCCATTCACAATCCCTAATCCTATTTCTAATTTCCCCAAATTTCCTTCGTCTTCTCCTAGCGTTTCAACATCTCTGCTGCTCGTGACAGTTTGAGTAATACTTGTATGGATTTTCCGAATTGTAGATTTATTTCGTTTCTCCACTCTGCAGTTTTGTTTCAGTTATACATCTGGTAGTTGGAGTGGCTTACTATCTAGTTTATCGGGTGTTGGCCTGCCAAAAACAGCAGTAAGCTTTGTTTTCTCAATTCTTTGTTGTTCAATGTTAGAGGATTTCCTCTAGAGAAAACAATCTCTTCCTATTTTACCAGCCAATTGATAAGGAGCTCTTGGTTCTATTAACTCCTGTTGCTTTCTGCCATGCTCTTGGACATGTCATGCCCAATGTATCATTTGCAGCTGTTGCAGTATCCTTCACACACACTATTAAAGGTAAATTGATCTTTGAAAATGGCAAAAGTTTTCGAACTTTTGGGAAACCTCCAATTGTAATCTAAATTTGTCTTTTTTCCACAGCCCTGGAGCCATTCTTCAATGCTGCCGCTTCTCAGTTTGTTTTGGGCCATCAGATTTCGCTTTCCCTTTGGCTTTCATTATCTCCTGTTGTTATTGGTAAACTCCATTTTTTTCTTCCCTTGTAAAACTGCTTTACCCATATTATTCTTTACGGCCTGATGTTATCTTCTGCTTTACTTTTAGGTGTTTCAATGGCTTCACTCACTGAACTTTCTTTAAATTGGACTGGTTTCATCAGTGCAATGATTTTGAATATCGCATTTACTTACAGCATATACTCAAAGAAAACAATGGTAAGAGAAGGAATCTTCACTTCATTTTCATTCGCAAATTTCGATTTGTATCGAATAAGCGACTGGATTTGACATCCGCCCCGGCTGACACATCTTTGCCTTTTATATTTGACAGAGGGATGGATAGCATAAATGTTTGTGCATAAATTTCTATAATTGCCCTATTGTTCTGTCTCCCACATGCAATTTTCGTAAGTATCCAAAATGAAAAGGGATCTTCACCATGCTTTCACTTCAATTAACTATCTATACAACTAACGATTTGCTAATATGGATTAGATTTGAATTCAGATTGAAGGCCCTCAGCTGATGCAATATGGTTTCAAAGATGCTATTGCCAAAGATGGCCTAACCCAAATTCTTGTCTGACTTAATTGGATTGTAATGTTTTATCACCTCTACAATCAGGTATGCATTGCAAAAAAAAAATATTAGTAAGTTTCTTAAATGTCAAGGAAATGGTTGGAAGCTAATGTTGGGATTCGAATCGTAAATTTGTTGAATGCCATCTTTCTAGAATTGTTGCGTCGTGAATTGAATGCAAGGTTTATTACTGAACTAACACATTGAGGTGAGAAAATGCAGCTGGCTACTAATTGGAAAGGGTTGCACAATTTACACATGCAGTCGGATACATATTGAAGCAAGTTTTTGTTATCGGCTTTTCTCTATCGTCATTTCGGTAAGTTTTTGGATCTTCCTCCCATATATCCTACTTCATGCAGCCTCTGTTACTCGGATTTGGATGTGTATTTTTTGCAACATGATTACACTCGATCATGTACGCTATGTGACGTCAAAAGAAATGATTCATTACTGATGGCATTGTTGCAGGCAATAGAATCTCCACCCAACTGGGATTGGAACTGCAATAGCAATAGCTGGAGTCGCCATCTATTCCCTTATAAAAGCAAATACGGAAGAACAAAAGAGTAAGATCACTTGACAGCACCCATATTCATTATTTTCCCATTGTTTTGAGCATCTGATTATTCCTTTTTTCCAACATTTCAGAAGGCTGCTTTAAGTGCTGCATCCTAAGGAATTTTAATGGAGAATGCAAGCTTGTTGAAGATGGATGCTTGGCGAAACAGATTTTGAAATGGGAAATAAAGACCCAATTGTTTGTGGATGTGCAATTATCCACATTAGAAACTCTGTAATGAAAACAACTTTTCCCCTAATTTTGAAAAGATAAATTCATATTTTTTCTTATTCGATTACAAAGTTTTCGGAGTAGTTAACAATGCACGTACTCTCTACAGATACTGTTGCTTAAACTCGGATACATTAATCCATTTTTATTTTAAATATAGGGTCAAGCAAATCTGGAAATTTATAATTTTATAATTGAAAGCAACATTACAAAAATGCCAAATCCCCCCCCCCAAATCTCCGGGAATTCTAAGCCACAGAAAACTCGAGGGGCTGAGGCAATGGCCAATGACGAAGAAGGCTTTGCTTTTGTCTCTAAACTTCTGAAAAACTCCAGCAATCCCAGTTCCAGAGTTCCCTTCCAATGGCGTCCACCACAACTCTTCAAGCTCCATACTCTCTCACTCAAACCCCAAAACATGCCTCGCATTGTCCAAGACTGTAGAGCCGCGGCACCGAGAGCGAGAACCGGAAGAACGGAACACCGTGAGGTGGGCTTTTTCGCCGCAACTGGTCCAAGCAAACCCAAAGGCCTCCTCCTGGAGTCGATACGAGATTCATTGGGAAAACGAAGACGAAGGCTGGATTGGCGGCGCGTCGAATTCACAACAAACAAAGGAGAAATTCAATCCAGAAGAAGAACAGAAGAATCTCCTGGGTGAAAAGTTCGCCGATTTGCTCAACCACTCCACCGATTCTCATTACCAGTGAGTCTTTCAAATTTCATTGTTTGCAGCATGAATTCAACAACCCAAAACTGAAAATTGTTCATAATTGAGCAGGTTCCTGGGAGTGTCAGCAGAAGCTGATTTGGAAGATAAAAGCGGCCTACAGGAGGCTATCAAAAGAGTATCATCCAGACACGACATCACTTCCATTAAAAGCAGCTTCAGAGAAATTCATGAAGTTAAGAGAGGTTTACAATGTGTTGAGCGACGATGAGAGCTGTAGTTTCTACGACTGGACCCTTGCACAAGAGGCGGCTAGCCGTAAAGCCGAGAAACTGAGGATGAGATTGGATGATCCGTACCAGCAAGACCTCAGGAACTACAAACCCAAACCAGATAAGGTCGACCGTCTTGGCGGGAGGAACATGGACCTAAGTGACCAAGCTTTGACTGCCCTCACCTTTGATGTTTTCGTCGTAATCTTTGCAATCTGCTGCACCGTTTATGTGCTTGTGTTTAAAGACCCTATTAGTAGAAAATTTGTATATAAGTGAATCCATAGTTGTTGAAAGAAGATTTTGAAACTTGAATTGATTATAGCCATGGATGATGAATGAATGATATACACAGTCAAACCTTTATAATCTTTATCATTAGGCATTAAATTAATATAATAACGAATGACTTTGGATTTATCGATCGAATGGAAGTTAATCATAAATTAAACCCCAAATCTGACGCATAGGAGCATGGTTAAGCAATACACATAATAATTATAATAGTGTCTGTTGGAGCTATATGATGGGTTGAATCAGCTTAATTTTGAATAAACACTGCATTCATACGTTTAATAAACATAAAATTAATATAATACGGCTAAATACGATCACTGTCATGCCCCTTTCTCAAACAATAATGATTGCATTCCCTTAACGATTTTCGTTTTTCCCTTTGGCCACACACAGCCTAACCTTTGCGCATGATTGAATTTGAATGAGATTACTCCGTCATATGTGCCGTGGGTTCAAGGAATTCATTAATCTAATTTGATTTCTTTTTAAACTCTTAATCAATATCAACCTCCTCCTCCAGATCAATTTGGATGTTACTTTTGAGTCTATTGGACATCTAGCAACTGTGGGGTTATTGCCTGAGATGTTGTTGGCCAAGTACTTGGCGACATGGCAGCATCGTTACTAGATTGTGTCGAAGTTGGACTTTCGGAGATTCAAACCCTAAATGCAGCACTTTCTTTAACAAGTGAGAATCGGTGGACGCATGTAATCTTTGAATTAGGTTCAATGCTTGTAGTCAACAAGATGTCTCGACCGATGAGGACTTGTCCATGTTGGGTTATTATCCTCGGGAATCTCGTAGGATTTTGGATGCTAATTTAAATTACCAAGTGTGTTTTGTTCTTAGAGCTTGTAATACTATGACACTTACTTTGGCTAAGGGGCTCTTCGTTCTGGAAATGCCTTGTATTTTGATTTGGATTGTCCCTAGATTATTATGTTTGGTGTATCCAATGATTTTTCTTCTGATAATACAAGGTTCTAGGGCACTCTTTTTCCCTTATAGGTCTTAGAAGGAGTTTTTAATGAGGTGTGTTTTCTTTCCAACAAAAAAAATTAAAATTTAGGGTCCTCCAACTATAAGATGTTATTTCGTTGAGTCCTCTGACTATTAAAAGTTATGGAATTGTCCCTTGAATATGGGGAGTTGCTTTGTTGAGTCCCTTGACTATTAAATGTTACCAATTGGTTACCTAACTATTCATATATTCCAAACACATTCTTTTTTGTTAAAAAGTTAATAATAGTCTAAGTTGAATGTTAATTGACTAAGATATGATACTTGTTTGTGTTTTTAGATTAGATTTTATCATATCACAGTCAACAAGTTAACGTCTAGCTCAAATTACCGTCAAATTTTTAATAGAAAAAGATGGTTTGGAACATATAAATAGTTTAGTGACTGTTTTGTGACTGTTTTGTAACTTTTAATAGTCGGAGAACTCAACAAAGTACTATCATATAGTCAAGAGACAATTTTTGAAATTTTTAATAGTCGGGGACTCAATTAAGAAACATCTCTAATCGAAGGACTCAATAAAAATAACACCCTATAATCAAAGGACTCAATAAAGTAACAACTTATAGTCGGGGATCATTTGTATAATTTACCCTAAAATTTATAGATTTTAAAGTTGAATTCAGACTTTAATGTAAAACCCTAAAAAAATATTGATTTTTGGTAAGAATTTAATAACATTAATTTTATTTTTAAATTATCGCGTGCAATAATCTTTATTGAATAGAATATTTAAAAAATTTAATTTATAGAAAGATTTGAAATTTATTTCTGTATCTATCATCCTTAATTACTACCATAAAAACTGAGATAACTACCATAGAATACCCCCAAATTATGATTCTATTATAAATTAATATTTAAACTTTATAATATTTTATATCACTTTAAACTATGATCATTTTAAATTGATATCTAATTTTACAATATTTTATATCAATCTTCAATTATTAATTTTATTTTTTATTTTAATCATTATTTTTTTAAAGAAATAAGGGTCTCATTAAAAACCACTTCTAGTCCTATAAGGGAAAAAATGTCCAACATATATATTACCCAAAATCAATGTCATTGAATACATCATAAGGGATAACTTTGGGACAAACCGAGCCAAAATAAGGTACGCCCAGAACAAAGAGCCCAAGACTAACATGTGAGCAACCTTATACAATTACGCTCAACATAACAACAACAAAAGATACACGAGTAGCTAAGATAATATGTTTTTCGAAATCAGAGGAATAATCGTTGATTTTTCTAAAAAATTTCTAAGATATTAAAAAACAAATTAAAATTTAGAAGTTCACAATATTAATTCTCAATACTTTCAAAAATATATTAATTTTTAAAGCTTCATATATTCAATTTCCAAAGCCTTAAAAAATAGTAGAATGAATGAATTAATAAAAGAACTAAAATAAAATAACGGTGATAGTTGAAGAATTAACATAACATCTTAAATTTAAGACTAATTTAGAATGAAGTAAAAAACTAGGAACCAATATAAATATTTTAAATTACCAATTTAGAACAATGTGAATTATAGTGGTATTCTCAAGAATCCAAGCAGGGAGCTGGACAGGTGTTACAATAATACGCCTTAGGGGATTTGTTTTAACCTAAATATTATAAAATAAAACCGCAGGCTGGTACACAGTACAGCCGCGCATTGGATGTAAGATATAAAGAAAGAATAAAGAAAACGAGGGTAAATTACAATATCATCACTGAACTTTACTTTCTCCCCTATTCATTTATTGTACATTAAATTCATTCAATTCTTCACTAAACTTAACGTAGTTAGTATTTTTGGTTACTCAACTGTTAAATATTTAACGATGTTAAACAAAATTATTTAGAAAAAGAAATTTTTTACCAAAATGACATCGTTTGTATTTTTATAAAGCTAGTGATAAAACTGTTTAGTGACCAAAAATGCTAATTATGTTAAATTTAGTGAGAAATTGAACGGATTAAAGTATAGTGAGTGAAATAGAGTAGATTAAAGTTTAGTGATGATTAGTTCAATTTACCCAGAAAACAAAGACCCAAAGGTGGGACCCGGCTTGGGCTAAACACCAAAAGTGGGTTTGCTCAGTTTCCGAGAGAATAAAAGCATACATGCAAAGCAATAAAATAGTCATTGCTCCGGGGCATCGTCGTAACGCAGACGAGCATCTTTGCTGCAATTAAGAAGAAGCCCCCTTCAATCGCATCTTCATCTCTTTCCCCTTTCTTTGTTTTCTTCTTCTGATCTGCTCTATTTGATTCCAGTTCACTCATGGCTCCTATATTTTCTATTGCTTTTCTTGGCCATGACTGGCCATTCAAGTAAGTCCCCTGAATATTCTTCTTTCTTTTTCAACTTCAGATTGTATGCACTGATCTTTGTGCCTCTGTGGTACCAGAGATGGGCGATTTTCTCATAAAAAAATTCTTTTAATATAATCCTTTTGAGTGCAAACAGAAGAGAAACCCTGTTTTTTTAATTAAAAAGGGATGAACTTTGCTGCTTTCTTGAATGTTTGCAGGTGCTACTTATTGCTTATGTCGAGATGGATGAGTGACCAAGCACTTCAAGCAGCCTGGATTATGCGTGCGGAAACGGAGCTGATTGTTCTGCTATTCAACAATGGTGCTATAATCCCAACACCGTTAAAGATCACTGCAATTATGCTGTCAATAGTTATTCCAGAACAGCGGTCAAGTTTCAGGAAGCTGTGATTTTGCCGGCGCTGCTACAGTTAGTCCCATCCTCCTACCAGTAATCTCCCTTCCTTTTACCCCATATTCTTTTTTAACCCAAATTATTATTGTTATTTTATTATGATTTTCTCTGTCGTTTTCGCAGATATCGCTTCCACTTGCACCTATCCTCAAGGTAGGATACAGTTCGTTTATGAAAATTTCAAATATTACATATTTTAGATATATGTTTTTATATTTTTATTGATAATTTATTTTCATTCTATAAAATCAAAATTTTATTTTCGTCATATAAGTTTTTCAACTCTAAAATTTTAAAAATTTCAGTTTAACTTTTTTTTTTTTTTTTAAAAAGCATCACCTAATGTAAAATTTTGTTTCTGTTTCTATATGGTCTGTAAATTTGCTTGTGTTCCACACCATGGCTGATCTTTGTTTCAATAGTTTAACCATCTGACATATCGTTTTCCTGCTGGCAGTAGCACCGGCATAACCCCACCAACTGGGATTCCGACCACCGGGCCAAACACCGGCATAACCCCACCAACTGGGATTCCGACCACCGGACCAAACATTGGAACCCCTCCTGGCACCGCCTTTACCCCAGCCGGGTCAACGGACACCAACCCTCCAAATCATGCCGACGCTCTCTTCACAAGCGTGAACAGCATTTTCTTCACTTTGATCTTCGCCCTCTGGATTCTAACGTAGGGGGTTTGTCCATGAGAGATTTTGTCATCACCAAAGTCAAATATTATTAACATTAATGTGCTTAGAGTTGATCTAGTACTAGAGGCAAACCCCTTAGCCTTTTCTTTTTGTTTTTCACCTTTAGCCTTTTCTTTTTGTGTGAAAAACAAAGGTTAAATTATAACTCCTTTTTATATGGATCATTATTTTTGAGTTATTATCAATAAGACAATTCAATTATTTAAATACATTTAATCAAATCAAATACACTTAATATTTAACGCAAATGATGATATGATAGATAATAGAATTAATATATATTCTTTTAATTTAATCATAATTTTAATATAAATCAATAAATTTAACTTCCAATACAATAGTGACATGTGTCTCTAACATATTGAAAATATATTATTAATTTTAATTATTTAATTTATTTTATCTTTTGTCCAATTGTCACCACCTAATTTGATAAAAAATGCAAAATATTTTTGACTTTCTATATTTAGGAGGAATCGAACCTCCAACCCCAGCATCTTCAAAATACGCCCAAATCGCTTGGCCAAGTCCCTGGATCAGCTTTGAACTGCATTTTCTTTTATATATAACATGTTATGAACAATGGTAGAGAAAAAT